GATGAAGTAAAAACAGGTCTATCAGTAACTCAGTCTTCAAAGAATATAGTGTCAACTGTACCAAGTGGCACCAACTTTAATTTGTTCTTTACGTTGTTTATTAAAGCATGTGTATTTAGTACTGCACATTGCCGTAATAAAGTTTTTACACACGTAAAGTCATCATTTAGCCCCAGCAAACTTAGAACTTTATCAAGAATCATTAGTCATATTACACTAACATGCAAACATAGTCTTATCTTCTCTCACTCTACACTATAATATGAACTTTAGGGAGCACAAAATAGTTTCAAAGGTGAGACTGTTGAGATACAACAGATGAGGCTGTAAAAACATACTGTTGCAGAACATTAAATGAAAGACCTGGAGCAATACTTACACAATCCATTATTTCATATGATACACAACAAGTTTTAAACTTTTTATAAAACAATTTCATTTTTTCTTGTTTAATCAGTAGATTTCTCCATTTAAATTTAAAATGTAGAATGCGAAAAAAGGGAAATCACTATTTAGAAATGTAAACAATTTCAGTGTCTCTCATTTTAAATTCTACCACAACCCTTATATGTATCCAGTTTCAAGATGAACCAATATCATTTATTTTTTAACAACTGCAAAAATTAAAGTATTACTCAAGAGGATGTGAACCAAATGAAATTACAATAATTATACCAACCAACTGAAGCCAAGAAAACCTTGCTGTCATAGTTATACAAACTCCATTACATTTGCAGTCTTTTTAAAGATATGCAGTCAAATTCATACCAAATACCTGACCCAGTAAGTTTAGTATTTATTTCACACATCACTAAAATATTTGACCCAGTTTAAAACAAGATGACTAAATAACTAACAAAGAATTTTTTATTTCTTTACTTATTCACAATTTTTTAATTAATAAAATATTGTATTTTCTGCTACTTTCTAATTTCTAGATAGTAATCAACACACGACAAATAAAAAATACAATGTAATATTCTTCCTGTGAATTTCAATAACAACCTATATAAATGTGTATAACCCTTTTTTCGTGTTCCATTACTTGTATGATCGCATATCAAGAGAAATCTCTAGCGATTTTTTATTTTTTTTTCTCTTAGCAAAACATATTTGATAAGGATACTTTTTGTTTTTAAAAGGAAAATTAACTTATTCTGTATGCAGTATTCTATTTTACTGAATGTGAAATGACATTTTCAAATAGTGTTTACAGAAATTGTCTTTGGTTCAACCATCAGATTGACTTACTTGTATTGTTCACTATTGGAGGGTCCACATTACTGAGTAATTTTTTCGTTTCAGCTTGGACGAAATCACTACTTTTCTATGTATGATAAAATACATATTGGACTCCAGAAAAAAAATCAGTGGGATTAATCGCAATACTGACGGTATGTTTGTTTGAATATTTTGTGGCTCATGCTATAAAAGATTCTGTAATTAACACAGTTAGGTACACACAAACAATTGGGTTTGTCTACTATGCAAAGCAAGCTATTCTAGGGCTACCTGACCTGGTCATATCCAATTTAGAAGTTACATATTACAAAGAAGTCAGGTAGTCAACACTAACAACTCTTATTAGACCAAAAAGGTGGAGTCAACTGTCACTCTCACAATGCACCTATAGACACAAAGTGCAGTTTTTCTTTCTTGGTGGTAACGGAACACTGAACCACTTGACCGTTGATTCACAGTCCAGAATGCTAACCACTGGATTGCACTCAGCACAATTATGGACCCACAAGTGATTTGGTGCATAAATAGTTTCAAACAATGTAATTGTTTAAAAATCCCAGACTGCATTGCCTAATGGTTCTGAACTTTGACCAGGTAGTAGATACATATCCTAAAATTAATAGCATCCTTTTTATCTCATTTTTGACTGTTAGGCTTTTCACATTTAAGATTTTCTGGATGAGGTTTCTAATGCAATATAAAGTAGAAGTTTTTTTTGTTGTTTTCTTTGCTGCCTCACAAAGTCATTGACTTAGGACTTTTTTATGTGAAATTGCATTTATTTTGGCTATACAAAACCACATTTATGTAATGATTTCAAGACACAAATTATAAATGGAATAATGACAGATGTACAACACACATTGCAAGATTTGGAGAGCCATCACACCAATCCAAGCTATAACTTGTATGACAATGAAGATATAACAAGGTGTAATACATGCCATATAAATCTTAGAAAATGCACCTACCAACAGATCACAACTGATAGTCATCAAACAATTGCACAAGTTCTTGAAAAGATAACAGACTTTCTGGACACCGTGTGTTATTACTTTTAATTACAAAATGATGTAGTAGTACATGTGAATGACAAACAAAAGACCTCAGGAACAACTCAAGCACCAAAAATTTAACTGTTTAGAAGAAATCAAACTGATCAGCTGTGGAATATGTTTAAAGATAAATTTTAAAATATTCAAGATAAACAAATCCCTTATAGAAAGAGAAGGGTAGCTGCAAGTAAAAACACCAGGTTGGCTTACAAAGGGTATAAGAGATAAAATTAAAGAAAAGCATTACAAATTTAAGAAATTTAAATTGATTGGTATAATGGGAGATTTAGAAGATCAAGAAAGTTGGTGAAACAGGAAATTAGGACATCAAAGAGATGTATGTAAAAAGGTTGGCTGAAAATGTAAAAATTAACAGTAAGGATTTTTTTAAATATTTTAAGGTTAAACAAAATGTTAGAACGGGGGTAGGAAGGCTTGTATCTAATGATTATGAGATGGCTGCATTATTAAATATTGCTTTTTCTTTGCTTGTTACTAGCAAAAATATAAGCAGTATTCCACATCTTGAACAACAGATAGATTGGAACAAGATGACTGCATTAATTCTGAGCTGGTTAAAAAAAAATGGGGAAGTTTAAAGAATGATATGGCTTCTAGGCCAGATAATATTTTCCCAAGGGTTTTTAAGGAAGTTAAATATTTGATATGTCAGCCACTTGCTACTATTTTTTGTAAGACCTTGGATAGTGGGCAGGTACCAGAGGATTGAAAGCTAGCTAATGTCACTCCTCTTTTTCAAGGGAGGTGATAAAAATTGTCCCAGTAATTATAGGCCCATTAGTCTTACATCAGTTGTGGAAAAGTTTTGGAAAGTCTAATAAAAGATGCTTTGCAAAATCATTTAACAAAGTTTAGAATTTTAGTGGATAGTCAACATGGTTTTATTAAGGGAAAATCTTGCCTCACAAATCTTTTGACATTCTTAGAAAAGGTTATTGCTTATGTAGATGAGGGTAAGGATGTAGATTTAGTGTATCTGGATTTTTAGAAAGCACTTGACAAGATCCCACATAAAAAGATATCTATAGGGGTGGGGGATAATTTATAAATTGGACAGAAGAGTGGCTGGATGGAAGAAAGCAGAGGGTTGTTAGAAACTGAGTTTAGTCAAACTGTATTAATGTCATAAGTGGGTTACCTCAGGGATCAGTCTTAGAACATTTGCTTTTTTGATTTACATTAATGACATAGATAAAGAAATAAATTACTTAAATTTGCAGATGATATTAAGATCTTGGGTGTTGCAAGCTATGAAGAGGATGCTGCTGATTTAAAAAAATATTTTTAGATCATCTGAGTTGGGCAAATAAATGGTAGATAAGTTTTCATGATAATGCATGTGGGTTATCATAATTTGGATGGGAATTACCTTAACAGCGTGATGAAAGAAAGGGATCTTGGTATAATGATGAATTAGTCTCTTAAGCCATCCAATCAGTGTGCTTTTGCTAATGGTAGAGCAAATAGGATTTTAGATTGTATCTACAAAATTTTTAAATCCAAGTCTAAAGAGGTTATAATTTCATTGTATAGGCCTCTGGTTAGGCCACATTTACAGTATTGTGTTCAGTCTTGGGCTCCTTACTTTATGAAGGACATTGAATTGTTGAAAAGTGTTCCTAAAATGTTCTCTGCGATGGAGGGATTGTTCCACAAGGAGGAATTGAAATATCTCAAATTGTTTTCTCTTGAAAAAAAAGAATTAGAGGGGATTTGATTGAGGTAAAGGGAATTAATAGTGTTGATGCATCGACTTTTTTCATATTTAACAGTGAGAATAGTAGTACTAGGGGATCCAAATATAAATTTTGGCCAGGTAGGAGTCATCTTCAGCTAAGACAGTTATATTTTTCTAACAGGGTCATTGGCTTTTGGAATGGGTTGCCATTCGGATGTTGTGCAGGCAGTAAATTCAAGTGAGTTTAAGAAAAAGCTTGGTAAGTATATGAATGATAAGGGCTGGATTTAAGATTTTTTTGATAATAGTTTTAGTTTAGTTTGGAGGATAGGACAGCCAGAATGGGCCAATAGGTCCAATGTTGTCCCAAGACATTATGTTATGTTAACTCTACTCTATTAATAAGTTTTTGAGAGACTAAAAACACAGGAGCTAAATTATCTGTACCAACTATACATTTTAAGAAGAGAAAAGAAATTATTTGCCTAAAAGTATATTAAAGACAAGCCTAGTGGTGTACATATCCCTTGTTTAAAGTAGCCTAGTGTGTTTATCCTTTGTTTTTTAACTTCTGTATAAACTTTATTATAAATCTTCTAGTGAAAAAATTTATTGACATTCGTTATTGCATTGTGAAAGCTCAATTATTATGAAAAACATGTAGCTGGATTAATTTGATAAAATTTAACAAAATGAGAATTACTCTTAACCATTGCAATGTATTTATATTTTACTTATTACTTATATTTCATTTATGGGTTTAACAAGTATCGGTGGAATCAAAGTATTACCACTCCTTACAGTGGTTGCAACACCTTTGTGTTTCTCAGTACTGAATATTAATTAAAAAACAATTATTGTTTCTTAAAATGACAGTAATAGTCATCAATCTAATAACATTATTATGATTGTGTTAAATAAATTAAGTACTAATAAAAATGTCTCTGTATTACAATAATTTATATATTCTTGTAATTTTAAATGTGTAACTACAAGCTACATTCCTTTCAAAAATTTAATATTTCTGTTTTAGCTATAATTTTTACATAACACAGATAGACTAAAACACCAATATAAATGTGTACATGCACAGTCAAGTTTAATTTTCTTCATATAAAGTTGATTCTTAACTGCTGATTAGTTATTTTGATATAAAAATTTAATGATATAACAAAACGTTTTAAACAGAAACAATGCTATTTTATTAGAAGTGATATTTTTACCAATAAGCCCATTTCTTACACTTTTTACACAACCACTAAGGATTCATACTAGAAAATACTTTTACATAATCATTTACCTACTTTTGTGAACTTTTAAATTTTTTAATGAAAAACTAATAATAATAATATTAAACTAAGCGTAATTAATTATATTACGTGTTGCCTATCTAAGTTTTAATTGCAAAAACTACAAATGTTTGAACAAGAACCCTACAATTTACACAGTTACATAACACAATATCAGCCTCTGGATTGTTCTTTTTTTTTTCTCCTTTGAATGCTTTACAAATTTGCTTGAATATATATATTTTTTCCCCCCACCAGGCAAAGATGCCTTTTAAAACTGCTGTTATTGAGACACAAAAATTCCTTGTAAACTGTCACACATGACAAGCCAGGATCAAATACTCAAACTGGGGAACAATATGCGAGGTGATGAGATTTCCTATTTTCGTTGCAGTTTGCATTTGTACAAACGATCAAAATTTCCTTTTCACGTTCCTTGTGAAAGAAGTAATAAACAGGAGAAGAATCCAGATTTTCACCGGAGCCATAGTTTGAGTCTAAGTGCATCTACTCCATTCAAATAATATCTAAAAAGTCGTTTGTCACAAACAAACCCCAAGTTTTCATAAAGTCGTAAAGCCGGTTTGTTGGTGATTTCTGTTTCTAGTACAACCTGCAAATAAAAGTTATTTTCAAAATAAAGTAATAACAACTAAAAGTAGTGTGAAATTTTTCAATACAAATCAAATACACAGCCAAATATTTTCTTTTTGAATAAAAAGTCACACGGTCCTTTCCAATCTCAAGATGTTGGATTGGATGATTCCTCTATGCTCTTTACCTATCTTAAGATGCATCATCTTTAAGATGTCCAAAATCTAATATGGGAAATATATCTTTGTGTAACATTAATATCAAGAGTTATAAGATTAGTTTAGTACCTCATTAAGGAGTTTCTTAAAAATTTGTCATTAATACAATATAATGATATAAATTTAAGTACATCATGATACTTCTAAGCTTTAAAACTAACATATTTTGTGTAGATCAATAGATTTTTGTATTCAAGACAATACTCCAACCAGTAAAGACAAATAAGAACTCTTACAAAACAATGTTTCAACTCATGACTGTTCAATCTGTTCAGCTTCTTGTGACACAACATATCAGCATACCCGTGGCTTTTTTTATTTCTTGAGTGTCCTTATGAGTTACTAGGGGAACATAGTATAGCTGTATGACTGCCACTAAAGTTTCTTGGGAAACACAGAAAAACTTCTTTACTCAAAAATATTTTAGAATTGACATTTAATTTTTTTTAACCTTTATTGAACATAATTCACACAAAAAAAGTTGAAAAAGTTCAAACTTACATTTTTTGTGCCCAAAGTATAGGTATATCTTTGCTAAGAATCTGTCATCACTTGACTTTAGCTTTTCTCATGATTTTCCTTCTCTTTTTTTGATTTTATCAGTATTAATCTCTTAGTTCCCAACCTTTTACGACCTTACAACAAATGACTGAACAACTACTAATGAAACTAAGCTTTCTAAACAACTAAAGGCAATGTTTAAATATCACTGAATAGAGCAGATTACAAACAATTCATGTCAACTTAGAGTGAATAAAGTTAGTGAGAAATACTTTATTGGTCGTGGGGGAAGTGACAAGACCTAGTTTCTTTCAGATGTTCTTTTCATTCCTGAGAATGTTTTTATGTTTAATCACATTTGTTTGAAAGCTACAGAACTTTTCTTCAATGACAAAACATCAGATGATGGCAAAATATTCTGGTGTTTCAAATCCTTATTTGTTTTAATATTATAGTAAAGTTTAATGTATTCAAAAAAACATAAATAAAGTACCTTATCATTTGTTAGATATAAACTGATTTCAGCCCAGAATATTGTTACATAGTCTGACCAAGTGCCATTTTAAACAGTGAGGCCCTAGGTTACCAATAAATCTTTTTTTTTTTTATGATTCATAACCAGAAATGGTTACAACTAGTACAATCAGCAAAATAGAAAATAAAAATATGTTAATGAGCATCAATCATGTTAAAACCAAAATGAGAACATGAAACAAGATTTTCTGATCAACACTGAAAGAAGAAAAAAAAAAGAAATTCCAAAATGACAAGAAGAATTTTTAATGTTTCTTTTTAAAAGTGTCTCAACACAATTTTGGAAATTTCACAACATAAAAAATTTGTTTCAAAACTAAATCAAATTTTTTTAAAGCTGAGACTAGATACTATTTAGTAAGTTTTTCCTAATTTTCATGCAATTTGATTAAGTATTTCCACTTAAAGAAGAAATGAAATCAACAGATATCAGTGATAGCCCCCTAGGTCCAAAAGGGTTAGATTATTAACACATTCGCTGCCACATACCCCACCAGAGTGACACAACTGAGTTATGGGCCACGTTACACACTGGTGGGTCACAGACAATTATGTTCTAAAACCAAATTTCTCTTGTGACATATGAATTTGGGACACCGAGACTGCTCTTTGGTGTCTCTTGAATGTTTACATTTTTGATACTCAATTTATTATGTTGCAGAGAACGTGTTAAAGATAAACAAGGGTATGCTAATACATCACACAAACAGCACTTTGATACCTTAAGATTTAATGGTTCCCAGGTGATACATTACTTTGTTTTGTAACATTTTCTCTATTGGATGAAGCTTGGCAGAGGTCAAGGATCTTTAAAGTGCTCTGAACAATGGTTGTGGATGTTAAAATGAATTAACAATGGTTTTGGATGTTAAAATGAATTAACAATGGTTGTGGATGTTAAAATCAATTAACAATGGTTTTGGATGTTAAAATGAATTAACAATGGTTGTGGATGTTAAAATGAATTGCAGCAGATTTATCAAGATATTCTCAGGTCCTTTTAACTACCTTGCAATGTTTTTCACCTATGTAGAAGTGACCACAGTAAACCATTGACTTTAAAACATAGGAGGAATTACCATTTATATAATAATTCTAAGAACTTATGAGTGAAAGTAAAGAAGAATATGTAATAGTATGTCAACTACACTACATCTTTTGTATCCAGAGCCTACAATACCAGGACTCAACAGGCTAGTTCTGATAGGAAAGATATAGCAGTAGTCTAAGTACTACTTATATTATCAACTGCATGAACAACAACAAGTGATTTTTGATTCACGTACTTTCATTTGTTGATGTAATAGCAGTAATGCAGTATCACCTAATACAAGGTCACTTTTCAAGATTATCACTAGATTTGGTTGGTGAAAGACAACCGTGTACTAATAAATGTCCAACGTTAGTGTAATGTTCGTACGAGATTGTGGGAGAAGATGTTTCTGTGTTGGATCATTTGAAGAATGTGTAAGGTCTTCAAGACTATGTCAGCATCTTTAGTGTTATGTGAATGGTGCAAGATGACAATGACTAGAGATATTTTGGATAAGGTTTTCTCCTGTGCGTGTTTGGATTTTGAGAGGTCTTTCTTAACTATGCGTTGGGCATATAACTAGATTTTCATGTCATTTGCTTTAGAACTGTAATCAGTATCTTTGGTGCATAGTCAGCACAGCCTATTAAAATGTAAATTAGGAATGTTACATTTTTACACAGAATAGATAGCTGTATGTAACACTTAGGTATCAGTGAGTTTGTAATACTTTTAATAATGTATACGTTATTAACTGCTATGTTAATGTTGAAGAAATACCTGAAGTATGCATGTGTAGGTACTTGAAATGGATGAAAAATGTTTGCAAGATCGACTAAACGAAAGAGTTCACATCATGTACACACCATGCTACTTCATATATAAGAATTAATTGCAACAAGATAAAATACAATCCTTAAATCACACAGTGAAACACTCTTTATGCTGGATGATCTTTCCTAAAACAATGGTTTTGTTTTAATAGTTGGTTTTACCAGTGTGAACTATGTTGCCATAGAAATAAAAATGGGTCTTAATTCTGCTGATCTATTTGAGGAGTATATTAGAGACCAAATGTTTTCCCAATACATCAGTATAATTCCTTTTTTATTAATAAATACTATGTAGATAATGCATTTGGCATTGCCAACTGTACTATAAAGTTTTCTTTTTTGTTTCAACCATTGTTTTAACACATTTTTAGAACTTCAAAGTTTTTTACGATAATATCAACCTTGTAACTCATAATGACAGTCAGGCAGCTATTATGTTTCTCTTGTAAGTTGTGCTGACAATCAAATAGCTATTCTGTTCCCTAGTAACTCATGCTGAAGTCAGGTAGCTATTCTGTTTCCTTAGTAACACATGATGACAGTCAGGCAGCTATTCTGCTCTCTTAGTAACTCGTAATGACAGTCAAGCAGCTATTCTGCTCCATTAATAACTCATAATGACAGTCAGCCAACTATTCTGTTCCCCTAGTAACTAATAATGACACTCAGGCAACTATTCAATTATATTGTAATTCATAATGACTTGATAGTTAAAGTTTCTTTACTTCTCACATTTTTCTCATTGTTGAAACTACATATTATTTCAAAGTTTTTCAATCTGCAGTCTTGTCACATTCTTGATCTAAATATTTGTAAAATTACCAACACTAGGCTTCAGATGCTTTTCTTTACGTTGCTCTAAGCAATTCATGGTTGATTCCACACAATCTTGTTCACATTGAGAACAAACATGTTGATAAACAACATAACAGCATTAAAATTTATGACTTCTGTTCTTTATCTTCAAAAAGGTCTCCTTTCTCAACACTGAAATTTGTGGATAGTTTCATTTCATGATACTTTTGATTTTGTTCTTTAAAACATAAGTTTTTACCCAAAGTGGGGGAATGGTGTAGAATGACACTTTATGAAAGTGTTCAAAAACCCCATTAAAAAAAATATACAAATATTGGGAATAATACATGGAAAACATTTTTTAACAACATATTTTTCATTTTTCACAATAGTTGTTGGTAATATGATAAGCACTATCACATACAATGTTCATTAAACTGGCCTTAAATTTAACAGATATAAAGTTGTCAACATGAATACAATCCTGTATATGCAGGATATGATATGATAAGCACTATCACATACAATGTTCATTAAACTGGCCTTAAATTTAACAGATATAAAGTTGTCAACATGAATACAATCCTGTATATGCAGTTTATGATACATTCCTATGTCTAGATGATCCCTAAACTTGTTAACATTAAGATATTGACCCTATTGCCCCCACCATCATTTTAAAATTCCTTTCTGCGTATGGTATTTAATTACATTCAAAATTTAATTAAACCACTTTCCTATCAATATATACCAATGAAATTAACATTATTATATATAATTTGAATTTTTATGTTTTCTAAGTTTTACTTACTTTGTTTCAAAGGAAACATTTCAAAAATATACTTAAACTGGAGTTTTTGTGTAACATGATCCACATGCTTTGAAAAATCTAGACTTTAGCAGTGGTTCACTCTTAGCCACAGCTGGCAATGTACATGAGTATGTGGACATTAGGGGTACATGTGGTTGACCTAGTGACGTGATATCCAAAGTCCTACAACTGTATTCATTGGGAAAGAAAAATTAATTTTCCAACCGTTGACAGTTGCCATGCTCACCCTCTATACTTTGCCTTGAGATCTACAACATACATATAGTTAGTTGACACAAGTGTATCTATAGTCGTTAGAAAGAGTTCACTTTACATGTACCTGCCATTCAGATTGTTGTCTGCTTGATCAACTATTGCAATTACAGTAGTTTCTTTCTTAAATATCCTATAGTTAGTGAGATAGTTAAATTGTATTTAGGTCTTACTTTTATATTTTAGTTAATTATGTATCGTGTGTGTTTTAAAAGTCATGTTTGAATAGTTTAATGATTTTTATAAGTTTAACTTGTTGCCTGGATTGTAAAAGGTTATAAACAAGATGGCACGTATAAGCTCCATATAGTTCTGGCAACGCGTCTCTGCAGGAAGTCTGCTGAAATACCCTCATAAAGCCCCACAGACTTTAGTTGACATGTGGGCATAAATGATAATAGACAAAGAATTTGAAATGAAAATTAAAAATAAACTATAAGTGAAAAGAAAAAGACATGAAATTATGCATATAAGAAAAATACAATTGTTCTAGTGGATTTCTATGAAGAGTTGAAAGGTATGTACATATTTCTATTTGTTAATTTTAAACATTTCATTGCACTGTATGTTGATGATAATATGTATAGTTAGTGATATAGTAGAGAAAATGGAAAATAAAATATAAAACTTACTTTAAAAACTTTTGATATTTATTTATGAGGTTTTAGACCATAAGATAAAAAAACAATTTTGTTTAACAATCCTTGTACAACTGCATCATTTTAAACAATCACATTGCTGCTATTTGAATTACATTCTGTAAAGGAACAGTGTATTGGAACTGAATAACAAAAGTTGCACAATAAACTTGTTCACCAAATCTTAAATTTGCCAGTGGTTTACAGATCTCCAAACTATTTAGATATTCATTTTTTTCAAAGGCTTTAATAAGAAAGTTAAGAAATGTTCAAGTGTATGGTTATAAGTGGCTATATTCAAAACTATTGGCCAAATAAGACAACTGCTTTTGTGTATTTTTGATAAAGCATATAAAATACAAGAAGAAGAACCTACCAGTCTAATTCCTTAGTATACTTTATCACTAGTTACTATAATTATTTTCCTAAAGAAATAGAAAGTGGAAAAGGATATATTAAAAAAATGGTTTATCTATAATTGCTTGACAACATTTTAAAATGCAGTGTATGCCCCTCATAAACTGTGTTATGATATTCTAAAACAGTTATCTTAAATTTCCAGGAACACAGTTACATTTTGAAGAATAAAATACAAAATACTTTGAAATCAAACTACCCAAAAATTTCAGTATGGAGCTTTAAAATCTGTGTTAAGTAAAGAAAACATTTTCAAGAACAGAATTAATAAACTTCAATAATCTTATGTTGTTTATCAATTAGTGCTAGGAGATTAGTGAAAGTTGCTTGTCAATTAACCTGATAAAAATGATGCCATTTTTAAACCCCATTCTGTGCATGTTACAAAGTTACATTCAAAAATTAATTAAACCACTTTACTATATACATATTTTAACGAAATTACTATTACCAAGTATGCTACAATTTAAAGTTTTATATTATCTAAGTTTTATTCCTTTATCTTAAAAAGAAACATCTTAAACAGCAATTAAAACTGTAGCTTTTACTGTCACGTGATCTGCTCGAAGTTACAACTCTTAAGTTTTAAGAGCTGTTATACAAGAAACTGTGAGTAGCTAACATAGACTGTCGGCTCATACAGTCAAAGTACACTTGCTGATGTATTTCATTACCATCTGGAAACATTTCAAGAATTTCTTCCCGTATCAAATGTTTTGAATATTTCTAAATTTAAGATACGCCATGCCCACTTGTAAAGTCGAAGCTGTGTTGCTAAGAGACAGTTTGAAGTAGATGGCATGCTCATAAAAAATAGAAAGAGCAAATTTCCCACTATCTAGTTAATAACCTGAAGAATCCTTTACCAGTGTATGGATCTGCAGTACAAGAAGAAAATAAGCTTAGTCCATCGTTCTCTCGAGGGGTAAGTTGTGCTTGGCAAGTGTTTCTCGCCTTATACGTATTAGTTTGTTAGACAGATTGCATTTAGGTTTTACATTTATATCTTAATTAATTATGTATTATTTGTGTTTTAAAATGTATATTTGAAAGGTTTATGATTTTTTTTACGTTTAACTTGTAACTTCGATTGTGAAAATGTCTAAGCAAGATGGCGTCATTCAAGTGTGCGAGTATTAGTGAAAGAATTTGTGCACAAGCATTAAACTATAATAACAATAGAGTACAGCAACGACATGTTCGCATACCAGCATCAACAATAAAAGACAATGAATTGGAAAGGAAAATTAAAAATAAACTATACGTGAAAAGATGAAATTATGGATATCAAAAAAGTTTCAAAAGACTTCCATGAAGAGCTAAAAGATGTGTAAATATTTCCATTTCCTAATTTTAAACATTTCATTGTACTGTAGTTATTATTATTATTAGATAATAACTAGTGCTAGTGACATATTAGAGAAAATGGAAAATAAAATACAAATATTTATCTTAAAACTTTTGATATTCATTTGGAAGGTTCTAGAAATTATGCAAATGAAATGTGAAAATTGTAAGATAAGAAATAATAATTTTATATTCAAAATGAAAATCAAATTGCACGTGAACTATTCAATCTGTTATTTAATAACATTAAATAACAAATGTTTTGCTATAAATAGTAGGACCGTTCATGTCAAATTGAAAATAAGCTCATCCACTAGTTTCACTTTTGTAAATAACTTTCACAAGAGTTGCGTATCTACTTACAATGTAAGTAGGTCAATATCATAGGTTTAATTGTCAGGCTCATTCATCAATTACATTCAAGTAATTGATTATTCTTACAAGGTTAATCTTTATATTTTCAGCTTTTTTTAAATTAATTTTTTAATTACCCTTCATTAGTATAATAGGCATCTTCTGGTGGTCCTCATTTATGAGTTTTGTTAAAAAAGTTTTTGCTTTAATCTAAATCCTTTTGCATAAATTGTTTTAAAGATAATCTGAACATTTCCTACTTGATCAGTCACTTAATGTCAATACAAACACTTGGTTGCTAATTTGTTTTCAAACTATGCAGTAATCCCCCATTAATCTTGTGTAAAACAAATATTGAAATCAACTTTTAGTATCATTGATAATGGTAATTTCCCCAAAAGAGGTCACCTGTTTTAACCACTCACACCACTGTACAGTAGTGTGTTGTCTGTCAGTCAGTCAGTAGACATTAAAATGAATTTGCAATTTCTACCATCATGATGTCAGCAAAATGTGTGCATTCCACGAATCATGAGAAGAATTATGTACTTTTCAGGCTACAACAAAGCATGACATATGAACTTGAAAAGCAAAAAATAAAATTATTCATTACTCTTAATTTTGGTTTTATTTACTCTTGAAACAGAACACTTTTGGGGACCCTGTGGATGTACATCTAGAAATATTTTTATTTAAATCATTATTGAAATTAGAAGCAATTAAGTAGCTAGTTAGCTAATTATGTACATTGTTTGAAAAGGATAAAATTAAAAATTATATTCAATAAATATGGATTAAGTCAGCAGGATATTTTGTTCTCACCTACCATACTCACTAAAACTAATTAAGCTTTTCTGACATCTTAATGAAAAAAATAATATAATTTCTGTAGATGTCACACATAATTCAACACAAAAACACTTTCATATACTGAAAAAAACATTTAGAGAAACTATAAAAAATTTCCAGCTCTGTCATTTGTTCGTAAAAAGTCTTCAAAACTTCACATCGATTGCCTTTAATCAATGATGCACAGACTAGACACTTTCCCACAAAATCATAAATTACTGCTTAAACCACTTTATTTACTAAGATATGAGTGAAAAGTGTAATTCTTGCTCTATCCAATAATATTTAAACTTTCTTTCTAGGTGTTTCCAATGCTGTGTTTCATTAAGATATGATCAAACCACTAGATGCAACATTATAAAAGGGTAACAACCAAGGCCTGAACAAAAAGTAAGCAAAGAATACAAGTAAAATGCATTAAAACTGAGAATGGAGTGATGGTTTCTTAAGAAAAAATAAAGCTAATCTTTAGTATGGGTAAGTGAGCTGTTTAAAGGTGAAATTCCTTGCAGAAATTAAAATTTGATTCATTTTTCTTCATGAATTACACTAAATAAATGTTAGAAAATGACAAAATATCGAGTCTAAAATATTTTTGAGTTAAAATTCTAGAAATGTAGTTAAAATTAAGATATTAAGTTAACTTAAAAAATTGTGACTCACAAAATTTCATTAGGGGAAAAAAAAATATGAAAAGCCAGAGGAAACCCTGTCTTTGGGTACAAAAATTTTAGATCTGGTTACTTTTTTAAATCCTAAGCTATTGTACATGAAAGTGTACCATATATGCAACATAGTAAAGCACCTGTAACAAGCTGAAAATATGATAAATAGCAGTTTCATTTTTAAAACACCACTAAAACTATTGACATTTTTGTGAATGGAAAATTAACATTACTTCTTCATATGTGTTGTTTTTCCCCCTTCTTATTACAGCTGGTTGATTGATCAAAAACACTCATTTTGATTATGTGATATTAATCAACTTTATTATAATTTCAGTCAATCAATTATTTTAAGTGATAATAATCAATGTACTTAAGTTAATTTCTCAGTTCTGTTACTGATACGTTTGTTTTCAATATGAAGGAAATTATGTGGGATCAACTACTTGTTTAGACCAGTGTATAAAAAAACATCTGAAGCTTGGAAATTGGTAGTTTTACAAATATCTAAATCAAGAATGTGACAGGGCTGCAGATGGAAAAAACTCTGAAATAATATAAAGGTTCAACAACAAGCAAGATGTAAGAAGTGAAGAAACTTTAACCATCAAGAAAGTTAAACCAAAGTTGAATTATAATTCGTCATCAATTGACATCCTCCTAATAACTCATAACAACAACCAGGCAGCTATTCTGTTTCTCTCATAACTTATAATGACAATCTACTCTTTCTTTCATAACTCATAATGATACTCAGCGATTATGATTCTCTCATAATTGATAACAATGATCAAACTATTCTATGCATTAGATGTATTACTATATAAAACAAATGTGTGATTCATATAAGTGATGCAATATAAATCAAGATAAATTATTGTTATTCTAAAACTATATGAAATACTACTGTTTAGATAAGCTATGAAAATCTTATACTAGATAAGTGACTTCAAAATAGGTATAACTTGAATTAAACTATTATTTACAACTGAAATACAATATTTACTTTTCTCATCCATATAAATAAATTCATAACACATGAAATAATTTGTACTTTGATAATAAATACGTCCATGTACGTGTTTATGTATACTAACCTCATCAGCTTCATCTGCTACCATGGCTCGAATTGCCTTTAGTACCAGATTGGAACCTAAAATCAGAAATGTTAATTAGGTAATCTTAATGAACAAAACAAAATCTTAAATTGCCATCTTGGTGATAACAAACACTTATATATATATTTAAGTACGAACTCATAAATACATCTAAATTTCTGATTTGTTTTACCTTTACTCTCACTGTCAGGTTAAGCAAAATGCTTAATCAGCAAAACACAAGTTGATGAATTAAAACAAACATACATTAATTGAACAAATAAGCAAAATTTCATCAAAAATAAAAATGTGACAAAACATCAAGGCATGATGTCTGATAGTAGAAACATTCAGATGTGACCAACACTTTTATAATAGTTACAGTAACCTCAGATTTTATGGTTATTAAAACTCTATGTATTCAACATCATTAACTTCACCATACCAAAAAAAAAAAAGACTTGCATTAACACCCACTCTGTGAACTGATAAAACTGAATTTGGGGGATTGGGTGGGCTACCAAATAGTTTAACAGTTGACAGTGTTTAAGTTAGAACCCAAAAATGTGCACTCCAATAAAGAGCTTGATCTTTTAATCTCTTGTTCCCCAGTGGGACAGTGGTAAGTTTATGGATTTACAACACTAAAATACAGGTTCGATTCCCCACCATGGACACAGCAGATAGTCCAATGTGGCTTTGCTCTCAAACAACCAACCAACCAATAACTTTTAAACTTTTTAAAATAACCAATAACTTTTTTACTTCTTCATAGCCTGTGCAAACTTGACCATGGTGGGCAATTCAGATTCCAAATATAACAAGGAGTTCAAATCTCCATTCAGAATTTAAAAAGAGGGAGTAGAAGAAAGCTTTGATTGGGAATAAACCCATCAAAAATGTCTCCATGACTCGTAGACTATGTATTAAACAGAAAGGTATTAAAATAAAAGTAAATATATAATATACTTTCATAGAAACGTTACTTTCACTAATTTAAACCAGTATTCTTTTTATATTCACTAGATAATCTAAAATGGGCTTAGTGACTTAGTATTGAAAAAACAGTATTAAGTAAATGTAATAAAAATGCATGAAACATTATCTCAAAACTTGAGTAGTATTGTATTTACAAAAGAAAAATTCCTTTATGTTTGTTATCCAACAAACTTTAAACCATACATAGACACTTAAAACTCATTAAATACTAAATAATAAGTTTAAATTTTTTTGCAATCATTACAAATAAAAAAAACCATGGTAATTTAGAAACTAGAACAATTTTATCTAGGTGTACAAAGTGTTTACCCTAAGCATGCAGAAGGGTCAAAGTGAGAATGTCACAAGCTTTTTATGGAGATAGATTCAAAATTTACTTAAAACTACTTTATCATCAATGTATGTTAATAACACAGGGATGAAAACATCTCGGTTTTAATTTCTTAATTTCAAAAGGAAATATTCAAGTAAGTTCTCATCTGCTCTTCTCTAAGTCACACAATGAGGTAGCACTTTGACTTCTCATTTACAGATTTTTCTCTTCCCATATAATGGTTTCAGTTTGTTCAACCAATTAGACAAACATATTACAGATAGACAATCTAGAATATGGATTTTCAACTTATCTATTTATTTAATATGATATCTCAATATCTGTTAAACCTACATGACATGCCCTTCCCATCTACTCATCTTTTAAGAAATGTCTACAATTCTTTCAGACAATGTTTGTGTTCATTTTTAAAAAACAACATAATGAACATAATATGAACTACATAAATCAGATGATTTCCTGTTTTGTCTTAGCAGTCAAAGGCAACAGTTCACAGGGAGAGCTTGATTTATTTAGACAAGACTGCTCTGAGCAACAATGGAATTTTTTGAACCTATTTACTTAGAAAGGCAGACAAATTATAGCAGTTTTGGGACATTCTATAACATAAGAAATTAAAAAGTTATGTTAGATAATTTGTTTGTTGTTAAATACAAAGCTACACAATGGGCTATCTGTGCTGTGCCTATCAAGAGTATCAAAACCTGTTTTTTAGTGTTATAAGCCTTCAGATTTACACTGAGGGGCTATGATAGGTAAGATAAATTAAATGGAAAAAATAAATAAATAGAAAATATTTCTTGTGATCTCTCTTCAAGGAACCTATACTTTCTTTAGGCATTCTTTTTTCTTGTGAAAAAATATTTAAATATTTGTTTTAAATTTACAGAAAGTTAATTAGATAACATGGTATCAGCTACTCGTAGTTAAGTATACGAGTTCAGTAGGCAACAGAAAATTTTTCTGATGAATGAAATCCTTACTTATTAACCATTTCTATACGAGTCAC